GAGAGAGAGAGAGAGAGAGAGAGAGAGAGAGAGAGAGAGAGAGAGAGAATGTGTTTGTGTGTGAAAAGACTTGAGGGCATTGAATGTGATCAAAATACATTTTATGCTTTTATGAGATTCTTAAAGAATAAAAACATTGCATTCAAAAACTTGAAAATAAATGTACATGTGAGTGTAGCAGTGTGTTCTTTTAGAGAGTAAACATGCATTTTCTCCCGGTCTTAGCAAGATATTTTGGTTGTCTTGAGGAAAATACCATCTTGAATCAGTTCACTTCTCTGCTCAGGGAGATGGCTGGGACTTTCAGAGACACAGAAAAAGTGATAGTGTTAATCCCAGTGGCGAGAAGAAGACCACCAACACAGCTTAAAGCTAAATCTGAAGCAAGCTTTAAATTACATACTGGCTAAGTGGACAGTCTCCGATCGGGTCTTCCTGGGAAATGGCCCAGAATCAAGTATGGCAAGGTCTTAAGAAGGAAAACCCATAATGCACTGCATTTCCCATCAGGTCCAACCAGGGGCAAGCATACATCCTGACGTACCTCCAGCCTACATCCAATCAGAGGCAAGCATACATCCTGACGAACCTCCCTCCACTTGGGACCAAGTACATCCCTGTTTACAAGTCAAACAAACTTGTTTAGGGGAATGAAAAACACGTAACTTGTTATCTCCCATGAACAACAGCTTCCAGCTTGTCAGGAACTGTCTGTCCTCGGGCAAGGGGCAGTTTTATTTCCTGGACCTCTTAGGCTTTGTAATTAAAACTTGAAATGTAGCTTTGGCTCTCACAATAGTCTTCTGGGCCTCACCACTCCCAAAAAACTGTGTTATGAGCTATTTGGGAAGCGGGGCTTGGTGGAAGAAAAGGTGCCCGGAGATGTGGGTCCTTGAGGCAAGCGAGCCCACCTGTGCCCTGCACACCAGGGCTGGCGTTCAGTCAGGAAGCAGTGGCCCATGGGAGCAGAGAGGGAAGGCTGTACTAACGGAACACCACAATGTGAGCAGGGGTGGAGGACCACAGCTGACTGATACGTGGTCTCGGCTTGTTCTTCCCTCTTGCCTGTCCTCTGCTCCTTGAGACCTTGGGGAGTCCTTGTAGATAACCTACTATCCTGTAGTTTCCCTGTTTGGAAAGAAGCTGAACCGTGTAAATGCCTTGGGGGACCTGTGGGCCAGCAGGGAGACTGGCCATCTCGGGTACACAGGCGCTTTTGGCGAGCTAGAGTGTTAGTCACCGTTTAAAGATCAAAAGGACTTTCTTTCGGCATCTTTGAAATAAGAAAGTGCCCTTCATTTGGGGTGGACTTGGGATTTTGTGTGGTTCTCCCTGGCTAGTAATGAGGGCAGGGGGAGGGGAGGGAAGAGCAATTGGGGACTGGAAACTGGGACTCCTTCACTTTTTGTCAAAATCCAGATGGGTCTTATCGTTGTTTCTCTCCTGGTTTTCTGAAAAGCCCCCCAAGGCACATTTTAAAAAATACAGAAATCAGGCACATGATCCTCTATGCTTGGTTTCATAAAAATTAATACAGGAAAACTATTCGCTGTGATGTACTCAGTCTCCCCCACTGTGAGAGGAGTCTTTCGCAACCCTCTCTCCTGTGATGAGAACCCAACAGTTCTCCTTGGCATTGTAAAATGGTATTATAGTCACACTCATGGTGGCACTCATGTAATTGCAGGCCTGCGGAGTTCTGGATTTTACCAGTTTGGGGAGGGGGCTATGGGACTCAACTTCTTTCAATCACACAGGATTAAACTTGGCATTCAGGTTTTTGTGCCAAGCTGGTTCTGGCTGGCTAGTACTCATTCTGACTGTGTGAAGAAAAATCAATTCCACTCGGGCCCTCAGCCAACACATGCTGGTACTGGGGGCACTGGGTTTGTGAAAAATGACAATGTCCTTTCTGAAGAGGGACTCCTGTCTGGTCCATGTCTGTGTCACACCGGCTGTCAAAATATTTTGAGTATTGCTTGACTTACATCTATACTTCCTTTCCTTTCCTCACATGTAGGTCGGATTGTCAAGCTGCAACCCAAGATATTATGTCTAGCTATGAAAATAAACGCCAAACGACATGTCTAAAATTTACGGGCAGCTGATGACGCGTAAGGGATTTACAAGGAGCTACGCCCAGGCTTCATCAAGCCAGGCAACCGAATACTGTTGAAATAATTGTTTTATTTACAGTCCACTAAACGTCTAGTGGGCGCGCTACCCATGAGGGTTGATCACATGTGTGATTTTGTATAGGTTAGTCACATCCCTTACCTGGGACCATTCCTTCCTCGAGTCCAGTCTCATGGGTCTGCTCATCGGGTCCAGCCATATTCTGGCTTTCACAGTTCTGGCATGGGTCAGCTTGCCTGGCCAGCTCCTGAGGGACTGGACACACACTTTCATGTAACCTCCTGATCAGAGCACCTTAGGTCTGAGTGTGGTACCCTGCTTACATTGTGTTTCTGAGACAACACTTTGTCTGAAAGGGCTGCGAATTGAGAGCAAGGTGGGAGAAGAAAGAAAAATTGGGGGGTTCATGTAATAATGCTGAAGAGACTGTTTTCCTCTCTTTCAGTTTTTCAGCGCCGCTGGAAACAGACCTTGCCTGAGAACAGCTAGCTAGTCATAACCAATAGACTTGTGCTGACCCCTAGTTCCAAACACACAATCATGATGTGTAATAATAATAGTAATCATTAGGACAACAATTCCACATGATGGGCCAATGAGTATGTGCTGCACTCAGGGTGAGATGGTTCCATACGCATTATCCCAATTTTCAGAACGCCGCCTGTGTTAGTCAGTGTTCTAATGCTGTGAAGAGACGCCATGACCATGGCAATGCTGATAAAGAAAGCATTTAATTGGGGCTGGCTTACAGTTTCAGAGGCTTAGTCCGTTATCATCATGGTGGGACATGACGGCGTGCAGGCGGACACGGTGCTGGAGGAGGAGCTGAGCGTTTTAAATCTTGATACGCAAGCAGCAAGAGACTGTCTCACTGGGCACGGTTTGTGCATATATGAGATCTCAAACCCTGCCTCCACAGTGACACACTTCCTCCAACCAGGCCACACCTACTCCAACAGGGCCACACCTCCTAACAGTGCCCCTCCCTACAAGCCAAACGTTCAAACACATGAGTCTATGGGGGTCATACCTATTCAAACCATGATGCCACCCTGGAAACATGGCACGGCTTTCCCCTTTTATGGATACACAACCTGAGGCTCTTAGAGACTTTGGAACGTACCAGGCTCACTCAGTTTAGCACTGAAGCCCTAAGTCCGCTCTTGCCACCATGTGTCTTTGTAAAAAGAGTGGTGCAACCCAACCATGCCTCTACCATCAGGTCTAAGTAAGTGTTTTGTGTGCAAAGTTCATATTTCCTACTCACTCCTCCAGTCAAGGTTATCTTGGGCACCGAAAGTTCTTTAAATATTTCAACCACCTGTCACCCAAGGAATGTCATGAACCCAGATTATCCCTGCACCGTCCCCGTGCCCCTTTGCAGACATCCAGCTCTGTCTGGTTTATAATTAGAAGCGAGATGATTTCAAATAGCTGCCCATGTGGCACCGCTTTCAAGGCAGTTTCGGCTGCAGGGAACTTCACATAACCCAATAATCGGAGGCTAGAACGTGAGAGCGTGGTTCCTGCCTCCTAATTGACACCAAGTGGGGACATCTGTTCTGCATGAAGCTTGGGTCAGGCCTTCCGTCTCATCTGTGACCTCCTGCGGTTGGGAGGGACGGCCCTGGATTATGCAGCGACGCCTCAGAATATTGGAAGCTGGGATGAAATCAACATGAACAAAACCCCCTAATTGGTCTGGATCCTTCCTTAGCCACTGGTAATTATTTTGGGGTTGGTAGCTTGTCTTGTATAATAACAAATTCCCTCCCAAAGACAGAATTTCTTGCTTTGAGTGCAAGTCCAAACTATTGCACTCCCAAGGTTTTCGTGGACATGATCCCTGCTCTGAGTCTACTGACTTTTTCTTTGAGGTGAGTTATCTAGATTGTAGAACTTGGCATGCCATGTTTACTTGACAAGCTTTGTTCCAGCCCTTCTCTCTCTCTCTCTGTCTCTCTGTCTCTCTCTCTCTCTCTCTCTCTCTCTCCCTTCCTTCCTTTCTTTTTTATTTTATTTTGGTTTTTGAGACAGGATTTCTCTGTGTAGCTTTGGAGCCTGTCCTGGGACTCTCTGTAGACCAGGCTGGCCTTGAACTCACAAAGGCCCACCTGTCTCTGCCTCCTGAGTGCTGGGATTAAAGGCGTGGGCCACCACCACCTGACTGTCATTGGTTCTTGTTGTTATTAAATGCCAAAACTGGATTGAAGTTATAGGGATGGGAAAATTACACAAGCTCTCAGAGCTGGCTCTGAGGCTTCCCTGGATACAGTTATTGGATTTTCCAAAATCCCTCTTTATCCAGAGAAAGCTAGGATCCTAGGGTCCTAGATGCCTTGCTTCAGAAATACTTGTGTTCCTGAGAAGGCCACGTAGCTCCAGGCTTCCAAGAGTACACTGGGGTTGTGTTTTGAACAGAGGCAGATGGAAGATTTCATAAACTAAACATTAGTTTCAGGTTATAACAGCCTCCTCTTGCACCATTTCTTATTTCTGTCAGCAATATAAATTCTTCATTGAAAATTGTAAAAAAAAAAAAAAGGATGTCTCAGTGGGTAGCAGCTCCTGCTGTGCAAGCACGAGGACCCGAGTTTGAATCCCCAGCACCCATGTAAAACTCTGGGCATAGCTGCATATGCCTGCCACGCCAGCACTGCAGGACAGGGACAGGCAGGCTGGTAGAGCTCACTGACTCGCCAGACAAGCCAAAAACCATTGAGTTTCCTGTTCAATGCGTGACCCTGTCTTAAAGCAATATGGAGAGTGGTAGACACTAGTATCCTGTTCTGGCCTCAGCATGTGCACTGTACATGTTTATGCCAGTACACACACACACACACACACACACACACACACACACACACTCACCACACACATACACATACTCACCACACACACACACACACTCACCACACACACGCACACACACTCACCACACACACATACTCACCACACACATACACACACACTCACCACACATACACACACACACACACACTCACCACACACATACACTCACCACACACACACACTCACCACACACACACTCACCACACTCACCACACACATACACACACACTCACCACACATACCCACTCACCACACACACACACACACTCACCACGCACACACACTCACCACACACACACACTCACCACACACACTCACACACACACTCACACACACACCACACACACACACCACACACACACACTTACCACACACATACACACACACTCACCACACACACACTCACCACACACACATACACACACTCACCACACTCACCACACACGTACACACACACTCACCACACACACACACACACTTACCACACACACACACTCACCACACACACACACCACACACACACACACCACACACACACACTCACCACACACACACACACACACACACACACACACACACACACACACCCCTCACGCAAGTGCCTGCCCTCCCTGACCCCACACTTTCACACTGTTTTTTTTTTTTATAGTATTGTGTGGGAGCCTGCTTCAAAAGTCAGCTAGGGTTCCTGGATTGGAGGGACATTAAGGCTAAGAAAATATATGAAAGAAACTGAAACAGAAAACACAGGATAGAATCGGGAGGTCTGTTTGGTCATGTCAAAACAGCCTAATCACCCAGAATTTATTTCAGAACTTGCTTTTATACAGATTAAGAGCAGAAGGCAAAACAAAGAGCGATACTTTTTATTTTGAAACAGAGTTTCACTGAGTTGTCCAGGATGGCTTTGAACTAGTTCTGTAGCCCAAGAAGGCTTGCACCTCATCCTCCCAAGCAGTTGGGATCACAGGCCAGTGCCATGAGGCCCAGCAGTCAGAAAGGATGAGTTATCAACCCATGCAACAATGGGAATCTCCAAGGAAATATTCAGAGTGGAAAAGTCAACCCGAGAGTTAGAATCGCATGATTCCATTTATGTGACTTTCCTGAAGTAGTGCTTAGTCACCGTTCCATTGCTGTGAAGAGACACCATGACCAAGGCAACTCTTATAAAAGAAAACATTTAATTGGGGGCTTGTTTCAGAGATTTAGTCCATTACCATCATGGCAGGGACCATGGAGACACTGGGCCTAATGTGGGCTTTTGAAACCTCAAAGCCCACCTCCAGGGACACACTTCTTTCAACAAGACCACACCTCCTAATCCTTTTCAAATAGTGCCACTCCCTGATTCTTATACATTCAAATATATGAGCCTATGGGGGTTGTTTTTATTCAAACTACCACAAGCAGTACCTGCTGCAAAGACAGCCAGCAGAGTAGGGATGGCTGGTGTTAGGGAAGGATCGAAAAATTGGGGCAAGGCGGATAGTTAGGAAAAAGGCATGAGGAATCCCTTCCCAATGGACCTCTGCTGTACCTTGGCTTTAGTGAACACACACCAGGAAAGTGTATGAGACTACTCTTCAGAGCAGATAAAACTGGGAACTTCTTAATAAAATTTGTGCATCATACCATGCCATTTTCTGGTTGAGATTACAATAAAGCATGGCTAGCAAAACTGGGTAGAGAGCACACGAGATTTCTTTATGCAGTTATTACAGCATTATGCAAATCTAGAGTTAGCGTGAGACAAAAAGTTTAGCTAAAATGATACTAACTACACCATGAAGTTCCCACATTCGTCGTGTTTGCTTCCATCTCCCCATCCCATGGCATTCTGCTGTAGAGGACTGCCCTCGGGGCAAACTGCCACCATTTTCATCAGACCTGCTGTACCAGCTTACAAAAGATCATCACTGCTGGACCGGTCGACTGCTGATGTTCTCAGAGAAAGAGGGATGGGGAGGCTCATGGGACCCTTACCTGAGTGTTCAGCGGCTCCTCCCAGTCAGTTGTATGCATCTCTGCACCAATTGCCCATGACCCCAGGAAGGGGCTGGAGTATACAGGAGGGGAAGGACAGGGCAAGGAGGCTCTGTCTGCACCAGTGGTCCTCACCCTTCCTAAGGCTGCGACCCTTTACTACAGTTCCTCATGCTGTGGGGGACTCCCAACCATAAAAGTATTTCATGGACACTTTATAACTATGATTTTGCTACTGTTATGAACTATGTTACTGTTATGAATTATGAAGATAATGTCTGATATACAGGATATCTGATATATGACCCCTGGGAAATGGTCATTTGACCCCAAAGGGGTTGTGGCCCACAGGTTGAGAACCATTGATCTCCAGACACAGAGGAATCATCATCCATGTGTGCGGACCTTCAGTGTGGCTGCTTTAAATCCATCCCTGCACCTGCCCATAACCCTTCATCCACTGCTTGGTAAGTAAGCCTAATGAACTCATTGGCTCCCCAGAGTGAACTTGGGTGGGATCCTGCCTTGGTTTGTGGTTGGGATCTTAGGAAGAAGAGTGGACATGGTTTATGGTCTCCACCCCCAGGAGGTGGGTGGGACCTGAGGAGATGGGGCTAGACAAGGCTGAAGAGCAATGTCTCTGGGTAGGAAGAGAACCAAGACACAAGTTGAGTGAGTCCCAGGGCCTCACTAGGCAAAGGAGATGTCTGGCCAGAAGGGCAGGAGTTTGACTGGTCTTGGTACAGGAAGGCCTTCAGGGCTCCCTGACATGAATAGGAGGAGAGCGCTGGGGAGGTTCTGAGGGCAGAGACTTCTGGCTTGGAAGTAGATCAGTTGGCTCCAGAGATGGGTCACGTGCCAGTTGAGCCCTGAAAGACAGTTCCAATTGAGCATATAAACTCTGAAAGAAAGAACAGAATATGGGTGAAGATGCAAGGCTAGGGGAGAATGGAGTAAGGGAGTCAAACAAGAAGAGATTAAGTGTGATTGGGCAAGAAGTGAAGGAGTCAGGGTAAGGGTGAGAGGTAGGCGGCGCCAAATGATGGTATCTGAAGTGATTGGTCCATGTGGGTGGAGGGTCATTGAAGGTTCTGTGAGGGAATAGAGAGAACCGTGTTCTTGGGAGACTGATCTGGAAGCAGTGTGTATGTGTGTGTGTGTGTATGTGTGTGTTTGTGTATATGCACGTATGTGTGTGTATATATGTGTGTGTATGTATATATGTATGTGTGTATGTATATGTGTGTGTATGTGTGTATATGCATGTATGTGTGTGTATGAGTGTATATGTATGTATGTGTGTATATGTGTATTTGTGTATATGCATGTATGTGTATATGTATATATGTGTATGTGTGTATGTATGTGTGTGTATGTGCGTATATGTATGTATGTGTGTTTATGTGTGTGTATGTGTGTATGAATGTGTGTATGTGTATGTCTGTACATGCGTGTATGTGTGTGTATATATGTGTGTGTATGTATATGTGTGTGTATGTGTGTGTATGTATGTATGTATGTGTGTGAAGTAGGCAGAGGAGGATGGATGGGGAGAGATACTGAGAGGAAAAGAAACTAAACACAGAAAGCCTTTGCTGTCATCTAGAAGAGAGAGAAGCGATGGGGTACTAGCCATGATTAATTCCACTTGTATCTGTCGCTGTCACAAGTTTGTTTATTTCTGTCTCTTAGACAGTAGCAGGCGGCCAAGAACGGCTGCGTAGGCTGTAAAGTTATCAGGGAGTATGTCATCTTCCTGTTCTCTGTGCTGCTGGCCCTGGGGCAGGGCCGTTGCTTTTCAGACCTTATCAGCAGTGAAATAAAGAGAGGGTCCGGAAAACCATGTTTCTAAAAGGGCAACCTCAGAGCCGGGGAGATGGCCCAGTGGTTAAAAGCACATGCTGCTCTTGCAGGGGACCCGAGTTTGGTTCTCAGCACCAGTGTTGGGCTGGCCACAATTGCCTGTGACTCCAACTCCAGGGAACACTCATACCTCGAGCCTCTGTAGGCACTGCGCTTGTGTGCACATAGCCATAAGCACACACAGTCATATACACATAATTTGAAAATATTAAAGAGTAAAAGGGAAACTCCAGAAGTCTAACCTATCATGTTTGTTTACTTCCCATTGGTTAGAACTTAGCTGCATAGCCACCTAATTCGATGAGACCTGGGAAATGTATTCCTCTGGCTGGCTGGCTCTGTGACCTGCTGAAATTCAGGACTTGCTTATTAAAGGGGAGGAAGGGATGGGATGTTGGAGAAGGCAACTTGTAGATGCTGTCTCAGAAGGTGAACTCAAGCAGTGGCAAAGAGGAAGTAGGGGAGAGGAAGAAGACATGAAATGTCCCCAGGCAGAATGCCTGGGCTTGTCAACTGGTTGGAAATGGGGCGAAAATCAGAGGTTTGGAACAGGAATAAAGTGGCATGGTGGACGAGATAGTAGACATTAAACAGGCAGGCGCTATGTTAGTGTTTCCACATCCTTGGGCTCGCTGTGGTAGGAAAACTGCAGACTCTGGGTGGCCCCATTCCGTGGGTTGGGGTTCTCTACTGAATAAAAGAAGAAGCCCTGCTCACCACCGGCATTCATGTCTTTCTCTGCCTCCCAGCTGTGGGTGGGCATGGCTGACCCCTGCCTCGTGTGGAGACTAGGATTTTCTTTTCCTTTTTTTGAGCATTTTGTCACAGCAGTAAGGAAAGAAATGGATATATTGTCCTTACCTTGTGGATGACGACAATGAGTCACAGAGAGGAGAACTTGCTGGTCCCAAGTGTCAAGTACTGAACCTGATCACATGCGGGCTTGGGAGACTTGTCAAAGTGCTGACGATTGCCCACGTACTTTGGTCATTGGCAGTTTCAAGCCTTGGCCTGATGGTCACTGAACATTGGCAACGCTTTCTGGCTTCTGGGGTTAGTTTTGGGGGTTGCATCTCAGATTTCCCAGCTGGTCAGGAAGTAGGCTGCCCAGAACCTATGTCCCTAGGTCCAAATGGACTAAGAAAGGAAGAAAAATCAGGAGGGAGGCTGGGAGGGTCCAGTGTTTTGCACATCTCATACATGGGTGAGAAAAGAGCTAGCTAAGTGGTTTCTTGTTATAGTTTCTGCGGCAGTGAGAGATCTGAGCTTCAAAGGCTGGGACATATGGCTCTAGGAAGGACAGAAGAGGTTTATTTTGTGGCCAAATAGAATTGGAAGGGATATTCTTAGCCTGATAGAAGCCTTGTCCGTGCCAGGGCCAAAGATCGAGGGCGCAGTAATGTCTGCAGAGAGAAGGGTAATTAGCAATTTCTTTAATTAAAGTTGGGTTCCTGTTTCTCCAGTCAGCTCCAATCACCAGGTAGCTTGTAACTTGGCTTCTTTTGTCTGTGCTGTGTAAGTTCCAGAGCTCAGGAAACCACAACCCATTGGTCTTAGATAAAGCAAGACCTACCTGATTTCTCCTTCTAGAAGAAAACTGTTAGAAAACATTTTCTAAAGCAACTAAGATTCAAAGAAATAGTGTGTGGATGCTTTGTCAAGCTCTCAAGGCTGGTTATTTATTCCCTGAGTAAGATGGTTGCCTTAACTGGTCATAAGCGCCTGTTGGTAAAGAATGGTGCACTTAGATTTCATGCTTCAGGGAACCCCAGTTGCTTTCATTTCTCTCCAAGATGCCTCTCTACAATGACACCTCTAATCAAAGTTTGGAGATTTACTTAGGCACCCTAAGATCAATCTTAACAGAATTTATCCATTTACTTATTTTAAGTTCCCTAGGCTTTGGCCACCATCCCTGGAATAAGACATCTTTCTTTTAATCTGCTAGAGAGTTGCTTTTAAGCATACTTAGGAAATGTATTTGTTTAATCAAAATTATGGCTGAAATTATAATAAAGCAATTGGGAAGAAATAGTTTGCTTTTCTTGTCCATGTGCGTGTGCGTGTCCGTGTGCGTGTGCGTGTGTGTGTGTGTGTGCGTGCGTGCATGTGTGTGTGCAGATGTATTGTGCAGCTGTGTAGGCCAGAGGTCAAGACTGTGTGTCTTCTTCAATCACTTTCCATTTTATTTATATGAGAGAAGGGCTTGTTCTGCAGCCCTGGCCGGCCTGAAATTCTCTCTGCAGACTAGGCAGGCCTCAAACTCAGAGATCCACCTGCTGCTGCCTCCCCAGTACTAGGGTTAAGGGCATCGCCACCACGCACCACCTCATCTTTTGAGACAAGGTCTCTCACTGAATCTTGAGCTCATTAACTTGGCTGAACTGAACTGGTCAGCAGGCTTCAGGGCTTCTACGGTCTCTCTTTCCCCAATACTGGAATTACAGACCTGTGCTACAGTGCCTGGGTTTTTATGTGGGTGCAGCAACAAGTCCCCTACCAGCTGAGCTGCCTTCCTGGCCACCAAGAAATAGATTTCTCTGAACAACAGTCTCACACTGGGTCAAACCTTGATGTATTGATAGATGGTACCCATTCTAGGTTGTTACTCAATATTTCTATCTTCCATATACATCTCCTTTCCCTTCAGACAAACTTCAATTGCTGGGGATCAAATTCACTTATAATTTTCCTATGATAAAGAACATCATATAGACAAGAATAATTATATCCCCAGTAGCCTTATAGACTGAGAAAAGACAACCTTGAAATTAATTATTTCAGTGGGACAAATATCCTTTGAGTAATCCATGCAGGTGACATTTCAACAGGAAGGCACAATGTGCAGCTGGTATGGTCACATGTAAATGGGAAACCCCGGAATTAAGCTGCCACTTTGCAAACTTGGATCTTTTTCACATACACGGTTAGTTTAACAATCCTTGTGATGGAGTCACCTGGGAAGAAGGGACTTCTGCTGAGGAGTTGTCCCCATGAGGTTAGCCTGTGGGCATGTCTGTGGGGTATTTTCTTGAGTGATGATTGACATGAGTGGGCTCAGCCTACTGTGGGTGGTGTCACCCTGGGCAGGTGATCCTGGGTTATGTAAGAAAGCAGGCTGAGCGAGCCACAGGGAGCAATCCAGGAAGCCGCGCTCCTCCACGGCTTCTGCCTTGTGTTCCTGTCCTGACTTTCTCTGATGGCGGATGGGCCATGGTGGGGATACATAAACCAAATGAACTCTTTCCTGCTCAAGTTGTTCTGGTTAATGTTTTGTCAGGAAAACTAGTTAGAACAGGGTAATATTTTGCAGTATTTAATAAACCTTGGTATTAATTCTTTGGCACAGTAACATGATTTATAGTAATTCATCCTTAATTTGCCCTAATAACATATAATATATGAAGTAAATATCTAAATTTGAAGTTAAATAATATATAAATTAAAATATAGTCTATCATTCATCTATCTATCTATCTATCTATCTATCTATCTATCTATCATTTATCTATGTATCAGACTGTGTTACTGACAATATAAGGGAGGAAGAATTTGTTTTGCTCAAGGTTTCAGAGGCTTAAGTCCATTCCAGCAGAGGGCATGG